TTCATTGCGCATTGTTTTAGCACAATCAATCTTTTCTTGCATCCAAAATATCCCAAAAGTCTGATCTCAATGAGCGTAGTATCGAGTATCAACCAATTTTCAGCTTTCCACCGAAACCGGCTATCTCACTACTTTCTAATGGCCAAGTTGTTCAATTTAAAGGTTCTAAGGTTCGTTAGTGCTTCATGACATCACTCAGTGGTCCTGTATTCTCCTTAATTCGCCATAATGGATACCGGTACCCACAAATATGTCACACTAACATAGCTATTGTCTTAACCATATCGGTATATGCCGTACAATCTCCATAATCTTTATTATTTACCTAATGGTGTTCCCAGATCCGGGTAGAGGATCAATACAAACCCAAACAAGGACCCATAAAATGTAAAGCAAACAAATCAAACAATGAAAGCAAGTAAATATGATCTAGCTATAAGGTAACCCCACTTTTAAGAAAAATTCCCCAACAGAGTCTCCAGTTCTGTGATACGGTGGGAGAACTGACTTGGTTTGTTTTACGTTTTATCGTAATTGTTACGGATAAAGAACAAGAAAGACCTTTGAGATATTTTATTGAGTTCGGGGGGTAGGTTATCAAAAGGGAAGATGTTAGCACCCTTTTCATTAGTAGTTATCTACGGGCTCTTAGTTGCTTATTAGATCACTTTTTAAATTTCTTTGTTTGAAATGTGTTTGTGGTAGGTTTTGAAAGTATTTTTGAAAAGCTCCTTCGTTCAGGCAAACTTTGTAATGATTCCCGTCTCTATAAGAATGCATACAAAGTGTTAGACTTTTTGAAAATATTTCATGTTTTGAAAGTGTTTGGTGTGTTTTAAAAGATATTTATTTTTGAAGATGGATTGTGAGCAAGCAACTAAGAATGTTCTACCTACCCAAAAGTCTTTTGTTAATTTCTCTCTTCCTTTGACATTGCTATCTTACCATTGATTGGTAAGAAGCTCTATCTTTGGATGTGAAGGGACAGACGTGGGTCATCGTATAGTCATAAGATGCAATGTTGTGAGATACCTTAGCATATTTCTTAAGGGACTAAGATAATTTGTAAGACAATATTCGTAGCGTCATCGAGGGACTTTGATCTCGTATTTTGTTTGGTTTTGCTAAGATGTCTCACATGCATAACATGACAATTTTTAAGGAAACAAAGTGAAGTTAACCCTAGAGGTGTAAAGTGTGCGAGTGTTTGTATTTCATGCTTGGTTTATCTTGGATTAGGATTTTCTAAGCATTGATTTTATCTTTCCATACAAACCCTAATTTGGTAGCATTTATATGAAAGCGGTAAATTGTGGAAAGTAAATATCCTACGCTATTACATCATTTGGGGATGGGGTGTACAAATTTACAAATGGGGATTGCAAGAAATTAAACGTAATTATCTATTACAACCATATTGAACTCGAATAATGTACAAGAATTGAAATGTATATAATGTATAAAAAATGGAATGAATATAATGCATAAAAATAAAAATGAAAAAGAAATGGAATTTGTTTTGGATTTTATTTAAGAAAAGAGGTTTTTGACCTAATTAACTAAAAGAAAATAATTAACTAAAATAAGAAAATTTAAGATTAAGTTAAAGAAAAGAAATTAAATGGGAAAATGTTTTTGGTCTTTTATTTTAAGAAATTAAATAAAAAATAAACAAAATAATTTAAATATTTAATATAATATATTTTTGGTATTTCTGATTAATAAAAATAATAATAATGATACTAAAAATAAAAAGGAAAAAAATAAAATAAATATATAATATTAAAGTTAGGGGTTTCAGAAAGTGGAAAGGATGTTTGTAACTAAAACTGAATTCTGTTTGATTTAGGCCCAAATGTATTTTTGTGATCAGAATCAGAAGAAAAATAAAAAGAAGGTTATGTTGGGCTGTGTGATGATACAAATGGATGGAGGGTGTTGCTGGAAGCAAAAATGAGAAAGCCCGGAAGTTCTGGCCTAGACGCGCTGCTAACAAGTACATGGGGGTGATGCTGGAAGCAAGAATGAGAAGGCCTAGAAGTTCTGGCCCAGACGCGCTGTTAACAAGTACATGGGGGGGATGCTGAAAGCAAGAATGAGAAGGCTTAGAAGTTCTGGCCCAGACGCGCTGCTAACAAGTACATGGGGGGGAATGATAGAAGCAAGAATGAGAAGGCCTAGAAGTTCTAGCCCAGACGCACTACTAACAAGTACATAGAGGGAATGCTGGAAGCAAGAATCAGAAGGCCTAGAAGTTCTGGCCCAAGCATTCTGTTAATAGGTAAATGGGGGGAATGTTTAAGAAATAAAACAAAAGGTGCTCCTGGGGCTAGAATTTTGCTAGCCCTAATCTAAACCCTAATTTTTCCAGGAAGTTCTGATCCAAAATTCTCTCTACCCGGGCCATATAAATGAAATCTATGAATATGTACAGTTTATGGGCAATGATATCTACATTTTGTCTTTGAAAATGCAAGCCTAACAATGCCTAAATAATGAGATGAAAAGTCAGAAAAACTCACCTTGCAGCTGGAGATCATGTTTTGAGTTAGAGCCTGATTCAAGTTGATGTGATGATTTGATTAGCTTCCTCAAGTTCTCAGGAAGCTAATGCAATGATTAGCTTGAGCTATGGATGACTGGAATGTTCTGGAGAGATCATGATGTAATGCTTTGTGTTTTTGAAAATGGAGTTTGGTGAAGATGATGTTACAGTTTGAAAACAGAGGTTGGGGTAGCTTCGATATGTGTATTAGAAGCTCTATGGATGATTTGGCCAAGAAACGCACAAGAGGATTTGGAGATTGGATTCAAAAATCAGAAATGACAAGTTTTTTGTGCTTGTGTTACAATTTCTGGTTCTTGGGAGTTTTAGTGAGTTTCAGGGCTTGTCCAAAAATCCTCCTTCAGCTTGCAAATGAAAGTTTAATTTATAGGTAAAGGGTTTGGAAGCTTGGATAAGTCATAAGTACAAAATCACATGTTGTGGATTTTTGACTTGTTTTTTAAGCAAGCTTAGACAAACATGGTTTCAAGGCAAGGTAGGGTGGCCAGCAACTTTAAACACGCCTGCTCTAAATTTGTAGGGACTGATTGTGCAGAAAGAACACACACAAAGCTCAAGGAGAGTGGACTTTGTGATTAAAGTCACTTTTCCAGAATGGACGTGTGAACTTTCTTCCTTAAAGGGAAAGGTGTATTGAACAAAGCCTAAATCAAGTGGTTCATAGCTCAAAAAATTGTGTAATCTTCTGATTAAGGATAGATACACACGTTAGAGGGCCTGAAAAATGGGATTATGCAGCATTGCTTGGAATTGGATCAGATGTTCATCATGAAACTGACTTATCATTTAAGAATGAATGTCCAACTTCTGATCTTCGATTCTCCCTGCTCCAGCATGATTTGAAAGAGTTCTTAGACTTTTTAGAAAGCTTGTAACATGCTCTGCAATCCTTCTTTCAATCACTTTTTCAAACTCTCATTGTAACTGTGTGAAATTTGGCCCAAAATTTCTGTCAAAATTCTAACTTAAAATGCTCAGAATTTTACTAAGTGTTTTAGTTTCATGGACATATCTTCATGAATTTATAGCTTGAGATCCAAGCATTTATAGAAGAAGTTCTGCCCTATAATGTTTCTGATCTCATTGAGATATACAACTTCCATGTTGGAAGTTTTTCTTGAATCATCTTGCATCATGGTGAAAATCTGGCACAAAGTTATGAAATTATCATATTTTTCTTAACACTTAGAAAATTTTCTAAGTGTTTAGAATTTTGACTTTTTTCAAAGTAATCTTGACTTTTGATTTCTTGATGAACAATCTTCATACTTTGACATGTCTTGATGAAATGTGATTTTTGAAACTTGATTTTTGATCCAAAAGTCAAAGTTTGACTTTTCAGTGTACAATTGACTTTTTCATCAGTTGACCAAATTTCAATTATCAATCAATTGATCTTGAGAAATATTTTGAACCATGCCATTAGGTCAAAATGAAGCATTTGGATTCTTGATATGATGTCTCAACAAACAAGTCATGTATTTAGTCAAAAGTCAAAAATCAAAACCTTCTTAGTTAAAACCTTAATTTTGACCATTTTGCCCTTTTTGTGATTTGATCAAATTTCTTGAGGAATTGTGATCCAAACTTGACCAATTAACATATATGAGTTCAAAATGTTGATATGAATCAAAAGTAATGAAGTTTAACTGTGAATTGACCACAGTTGACCTTTTACCCAATACGGTTGATTTTAAGTCAATTGATCAATTGACTGAGCAAAAATGTGATTCAAAGCCCGAAACTTGACATGAACAATCTTGGGAGCATTAAAGGTCCAATTGTCCTTATACAAACTCAAACCCTAATTTTGAGGTATCAGTGTTTGGGGAGGTATCTTTGAGTTGATCAATCCTTGTGCAGTCTTGAATCAATGGAGATCTTGTGAGAGAATTCTTAAAAAATTGAGAGGGCAAATTTTAGGATACAACAAAAGCACATATTAACATGACTCTTCTTATTTTCATACTTTCTTACCGATAAGTATTTTTCAACTTTCTAAAATTTTAAGAAAAATATAAAATGACAAATGTCAATTTTTTTTTAAAATTTGTAATAATTAAATTAATCAATATCCATATTTATTAAAAAGAAGTGAAAGAAAAAATATATGTAAATAATATGTTCCCAACAATATTATATTCAAGAAAAAATTAATACTTTTTATGAAGACATTATTATTAAAATTGAAATCACCAAATAAAAAAAATGAAAAGTAGTAATTTTTTTTCTATTTTATGATTTTTTTGGAACTTATATTTATTGATATAGTGTCTTGGTCAATCACTATTTAATAAGTTCATTAATTTAAATTCAAACCTAATGAATATAAAATATTACTAAGTAATTGCCTTATACTTCTATTCCTTGGTTAGGTTTTCAACTATAAATAAGACAATAACACCGACCAGAGTTAGCAACAAAAACAAAAACAATGGAAACCACTTTCAAGTTCCTTATTTCCATAATCTTCATTACTCTTGTTATCAAAGGTATTATGCTCTTATATTATTATATATAATAATTCCTTCAAATATACATAACTTTTTAACTATGATGTTTTTTTAAAAAGTTTTTAAGTTTAACCCTATTTTTTATTTTCAGAATCATGTAGCTGTGAATTGAACAGCCTTCAAATTGTCCAAGAAAACACTGGGGCACTAGAACAAGGCAAACCTGTATGGAAGGTATCAGTTATCAACAATTGTGATTGTGGACAAAGCCAAATATTTTTGTCTTGTAAAGGGTTTCAAAGTGTTGTACAAATTGATCCATTAGTTCTTAAAGTGCAAGGTGATAATTGTCTCTTATTCAATGGTCATCTCTTGAGTTATAAAGATATAGATTCATTTGAATATGCATGGGATACATCATTTACTTTTGCTCCTGTAAGTGCTGTTACAAGTCCTCCTCCATGCCATAGCCCAAAGTGAAATAAAAGCATAGTATTAATGTAGTAAAAAAAAAATAATAATATGGAGTTCAAAGGATTTAGGATAGAGTCTTTCTTTGAATTCAGTGTGAGATTGTAAAATTTTATATTTTTATGAGGTTGATGTTCAAAAGTGATAAAAACAAGAGCTTTATATATTATTTATTGTTTGAAGTTATCAATTTAAATGAAAACATTGTAAAGTCTCAATCTTGGTACAAAAAACTTGCTACAAATATTTGTGCTAATTCATTTGTGGTTGGGTGGCTGTGCTTATACAGTAAATGAAAATTCCATAGCTAATGGCCATTGGTTGGATAGGTATGTACTATCACCCTGACAAAAGACTAAGCAACTGTTTGGTTTTGGTTGTGTGTCTCTAAGGTTTGTTTCTCACATTCCAATGTTCATGTTAATGTGATTTGTCGAAGCTACAAACTCAATCTTCTTTCCATGGTATTTTGAAAACTACAATAATAGAAAGTCGTAGTTTAAAATTATACATAACTTTGTATTAAAAGAATTTGGCACGGTTATAGTAATTATAGATTAATGATAGTTTGTTTTTAGTTGAAAATGGAACTTACAAGCTAGTTTACTCATGGAAATGCCTATCTTGGGCAATGCCCATTTGTTATTTGGAATAATATGAAAAATGGCAAAAATCTCTAGCCTAATTTTAGGGTCCATAAAATGTGAGGCCTAATTTTAGACATAATAGATCAATAATTAACTTTTGGGAATTGTTCATTGTATCCTTACTCTATCTCTTTCACTTTGGTGAAAAATAAAATAAATACTTCTTTCATTTTATATAAAGTTTAAAATTCGAATCACCATAATGCGACAAACCGCTTCATTAGAAACACCTATAATATAAGTAAAAATATGTTTGGAAATTGAATTTTAGATACATCATTTGTATATTGGAATCCAAACACACACCCATTTAAATTATGTGACATGTCTTCTCATTTTCATTCTCTTACATTTGAAAGCAGTTTTAGAAACACGAACAAATCCCTCAAATATGAATTTTACATTCTTTCGACCATTCATTCAATTTCTACTCATGTTTATTCAAACTAAGCCCCTTCATCAATTTCTCCTCATGTTCGTTCAAACTAAGCTCCTTCATCAATCTCTACTCATTTTCATTCAAGATGAGTACCATCATTTCTCACATATGGTAAGTTTCTCATTCTTACTTTATCTAATTTCAATGCATGCAATTCCTTAATAGATTCTAGTTAAGCTACATTAGGTTACATCCAATAGAAATGTAATATCTTTTTCTCCTATTAGATTTGATTTGAAATTAAGACATTTAAGGGTTAGGATTCATGCTTGAATGATTTTTTTTTATGTGTGAAATCCAAATTTCAAAATTTGAACCATGTAAATGGATAACAAAATCTGAATTGCTAATATATATATATATATATATATATATATATATATATATATATATATATATATATATATATATATATATATATATATATATATATATATATATATATATATATATATATATATATATATATATATATATATATATATATATATATATAGTTTGTCATTCTGTTTGTTAATTTTAAGTGTACGGATAATAAAACCTTATATATAATTTTCCATTCGGTTTATCATTATGTTTGTTACTTTTTCAAGTGTACCCTAATTATTATTATGGTAAGCCTTGTCTTGTGTGATTATAGAAAAATGGTTGACTAACAACAAAGATACAAACATGGTCGACTATCTTAAAATGCTTAAATACAAAAGGAGAAAGCTAAATCGTCTTGAGCAATTGAAGAATCATCTTGTGTTAATGAGAGATTGTCTTCCTGTGGCCATATATATCGGCTCCTCGCATTCATGCTCCTGATGTTGCTCTGCATGCACATGATCCACATCGTCTTGTCGGACCTGTTGTTATCGCACCTGGTGGTTTTCTTGGGGGTCCAACTGACATGTCATTACTTCCTTGATATGCAAACCATACTGCTAGGTACATGCGGGAAGTAGAGGTATCATAAATATTTAATTACTTTTTTAAACATCAATATGTTACTAATTGAATTATCTGATGTTGATGTATTTATTTTTGCACTACCGTGATACACTAGAGTGTATAAACCATAGGAAGATAGAAAAGTTGTCGCAGCCAGATGAACCATGGTTTTAGAAAGTATTGGAGCTATATGGAATGAATGACCTTTATAGGATAGAATATGGTTACATAGGCCATGGTATTGTAGTCAATGGAGAATGAGAAAAATGATAGGAAACAATTGTCCATTTCAGGTGATTTATTTACATGTCAATTATTAATTTCATAATACTTGTTATACACCCTTACTGTTATTTCACCTAAACCATTTTAAAACATGGATCCTCCATCACTTTCTAGGTATCTCCAGGTGGAAGTATGCTTTTGATCGATAGTATATTTATCACAAAGATGTCAGAGCAAAGACCACATGGCTAGATAGCTCATAGTGTGGTTGTATACTTAGAAAAACATACATTATTATGTGTACTTGTTTAATTTCCAAGAAGATGAAACTTGATAGACTTATATGTATGGATGAGGTTTACACGCAGTGGAAAAGGCTCTGGTTTGACGATGACGGTGTGAACAAATACAGTAAATAAAATATATCTATTATGAAATAATGGGAAATGATTCAAAAGAGATTTTTGAAAGTTGGTTCTAACATGAAACTCCACTTCAAAGAGGAGTTGTGCAAGATAGCCTATCTAGAAACCACAGATATGAAACCACCCGTGGAACTAGTAAAAACTAAGGGCACTCAAAAGAAGGTAAAACTAAGAAAAGGTGACAATTCAACCAAGTAGTAACCTTTCTAAAACTCTCTTATATTATGACATCTCTTCTAAGAGCGAGAACAGATTTCCATATAGGAAATACATACACGACATGGTTTATAATTGACATTTACTCTTCTAATATCTCTTGATAAGTTAGCCTAAGGGGGTCTCTTCTGGTACTAGTGTCTTATAAGGATGATAAACTCTATAAAACCATTGGGTGTAAATGTATATCACATGAATGAGGAGTTGGCACACTACGTACATCCTCTGGCGCCATATGCTCATGGTACTCCACAAAGATCCCATTAACATCTCTACGGAGGATAGGGATATGAGCAGCAAATGTGGGCTCCTGTGTATACCCTAAAGATACCTAAACTATTGTAGTACTCGCTCAGGTAGATGTAGGTACATATGTCAAAACAGACAAGCTAACCATCAAGAGTACCAACATATCACCTCCAAAGGTAGTATCTAGCAGTGCTCACTTACAGTGAGAAACAAATAACATCCTCAAGAATACGGCCAAGACCAAGTCAGTACGGATCCGTTACTAAATTCCCCCTTAGTGGGATAATCAAGCACGCACGTGGCAACTCTTTAGTGTAATCAAAATCATACTCCCACCCAATGATATGTGGAAAATGATGGAGGATCCATATTTGAAAATTATTTAGGTGAAATATCATTAAGGGTGTACAACAAGAATTATGAAATTAATAATTGAGATGTAAATAAATTTCCTAAGAATATACAATTGTTTCCAAAAAAAAATTCTCGTCCTTCATTGACCAGAAGATCGTGGTCAATATAACCATATTTTATCCTACAAAAGTCTTAAGTCTATATAGCTCCAATACTTCCTGAAATCACGGTTAAGCTAGTTGTGACAGCTTTGTTATCTTCCTAGCATGGTTTATACACTTCAGTGTGTCATGGTACTACAAAAATAACTACACTGACATCAAACAATTCAATTAGTAATATACATATGTTTAAAAGAGTAATTAAATACTTATGCCAACTTTTATTCTTACATGGGCTTAGCAGTATGATTTTCATATCGAGGAAGTAGTGACATGTCATTTGGACCTTAAGAAAAACCACCAGGTGCGGAAGAAGAATGTCTGACTAGAGGTTGTGAATAATGAGCCTATATAGTAGCATCAGAAGCATGAACACGAGCAGTGGGTGCATCGTCTGAGACGAAGACACATGACCATAGGAATATGTTCTCTCAACAACATGAGATGATTCTCAAACTACTCACGATGATTTATCTTTCTCCCTCAGCATTGAAGCATGTTAAGACAACCAACCATGTTTGTACCTTTGTTGTTCATCAACCATTTTTCTATAATCACATAAGACAAGGCATATCATAATCACAATTAGGGCATAATTAAAAAATTAACAAACTAAATGATAAACAAAATGGCAAACTATATATAGGGTTTTGTTATTCGTATACTTAAAAATTTAACAACTTCATAAGTCTATTTATCTGTGAAGAGGAATTAACCACTCTAATATTTCTATATTTCTTTTTTTCCTTCTATTATACCACCTCCTTGAGAGATGTGTTCTCATCACCAAAAATTGGGGAGAATGTGAGTCTATGTGTTTATCATGTATAAGCATCACTTGGTTTTAATCTTACTGGTTGACCAAAACCTGAAGTGGCCAGAGACTTCAAATTTAATGCTGGAATGGAGGAGGAGGGGGTGTACCTGCAAGGATCTCATGATAAAGTCAGTAGGAGCACAAAGAAATACAAGAAAGAGATCAGGGTTTTTAGAATGAATATTGGATACCTGACCCTCCCAAGTGTGAGGGTTTTATATAGTGCCCCCGACGCTTGACCATTGGTTTCTATTTTTGGGCCTAGATATTAGGTTCCTCAAAAATAGTTAACTGCCGGGAATTGGTCATGTTGGGAAGAAATGCCTAGAACTAATTGTTATGACGAGCAGAGAGGTGCTCACGAGTAAAGATGATTCTGGCCATTCTTGAGTGGTTGTCCTCGTGTGGCTGGAAGGATGAGGACTAGCCTATTTGAGCGGGCAGAGGTGGTCTCATTTGTCCAGAGGGTCAACTGAACCTCTGAATGAGAGGATCATGTCGGATAGAGATGCTTGGAACTAGACGTTATGACGAGCTGAG